TAAAATCACCTCCCATAATAACAAATCCATTCTCAAGCCTAGGTATTTAAAAAAATAGTTTCTTAAAAAATCTACTGTCATCGCAATTGGGGGCATATCCATTTACCAAAATCACTGGGTTAGCAAAGAGCTGCCCAACCACAATAATATACCTTCCATTAGGGTCACTAATGATTTCCTTTGAGTGGAAAGAGATGTTCTTGTTAATCAATATGGCTTTTGCATTGAACTTGGAATGAAACACTTGACCGACCCAGTTTCGTTTGAGACCATTAACATTGATATTACACAGATGAGTTTCTTGTAAGAAAGCTATGTCAACCGTTTAGTTGTTGTAAGTGGGACATAACCCTCTGCCTTTTATTTGGGTTATTAACCCCTTTTACATTCCAAGATACAAACTTGGTAGGGTTGCTGATCATCCTAGTGGATTTACCTGCCATATAAACCTAGGATAAGAAAAACGAGGGGAGCAGCAGAGAGCAGAAAATAAATAAATAAATAAATAAATAAACATAGTAAGAAAAAATAAATGCATAAAAATAACCGAAAGAATAAAATAAAAATAATTATAAATAATAAAACCTCGGACTCTAAACCTGTAAACTCTTACCCTTGTGTGATAACTCACTCTGTGCTTGTTTTGCTCGTCACTACACTACAAGCTCTGACACCACAAGAGAGAGAAAAGAAAAGGATTTAGCAATGAAAAGTAGTAATATGAACTTGCTAAAACATTGCTTCCCGGGTAACAAAGTGACAATGTGGGGAAACCATCTTAAACTATTGGCAATCAGCACGTCCTTAGAAACAGAGAAAGATAGTGAGTACAAAACAAATAGGCGGACAAAACAGCCCAATAGCCTAATAAATCAAAAAGTCACCTGATAAGGCCAGCAACTAGAGATGGCAAATCCGGATCATTTTACGGACTCAGGGTCTTCTGAGTCAGTCATTGAAGAGATCCGGATCATACGAGTCATTTGAGTCATATGAGTCAGCATCACCAAGACCGTAGAAATCCTATTGGTGAAACCGAAAAGTTGTTGCATTTCACGAGCATATTATTATTCCATATATTTTGAATATATATATATATATATTTGTATATATATATATATATAATATCTGCATGTATATTTTCTATTTCGACATGTATATTTTATTTTTTATTTTTATTTCTATTCTTGTATATTTTGTAGTTTTGTTTTATTGTAAAATGCCTTTTATGCTGCTGTAACAACAATTTTCCAATTTGGGATCAATAAAGTACTATCTATCTATCTATCTATCTATTAAACTGACGTTATAATTAACCTCCGCTACACAGTGTATTTTGCTTTAATAAAAAATGTTGATCACAAAAAAAAGGGTTATTTTGAGTCTGCTGTGGACTCGTGCATGAGGACGAGTCTGCTGGATCTCTGGATCTGCTGCTATATACGGCTCCGAGTCCGCACGAGTCTGATCCGCTGTGTGTTGCAGCGAGTCAGGATTTGCGAATCTGCGAATCCGAGTCTGCTGTGTGGACTCGTGCATGACGACGAGTCTGCTGGATCTCTGGATCTGCTGCTATACGGTTACGGCTCCGAGTCCGCACGAGTCTGATCCGCTGTGTGTTGCAGCGAGTCAGGATTTGCGAATCTGCGAGTCTGCTGTTGGAGCCGTCGGCTCCTCTGAGTCCCCACGAGTCTGCAGGAAGTTTCACTGATCCGCGTCCCCTCCCCTGAGCCAAACGATCACTTCTGGCAGCTATCCTGTATACTTGCTAAAGGGTAGGTAGATGGACTGGGGTACGTTGTAATGTGATTTTACATGTTATAAAGAGAGTAGCGAGTGACGCAATTCATAGTTTTAATTTGTACGTCACACCAAGTGTGGGACTCAAGGACTCGGGTTAATGGAGAGGGGAGACTCGTCATGACCAGCTCATTTCTAGGATCCGGGTTAATGATCCGGATGAATCAGGACTCGCCCATCTCTACCAGCAATGCAACGTATCAGGGATCACTAGGACATGCCTATATATCAACTCTCATAACTCCGTAACAGCCGACCGGACAGCTGTATTTTGAACCTTACTCTGCCGGTAAGGGAGACCCGACAGCTTTTATCAGAAGAGGAAACATAAAAGCCCGAGCAAGATGAGTATTGATATGTGCTCAACCAGTGTCAAAAATGAACTTACCAGGACTGGTTGTTGTGATGGTAGAATTAATATTAGTAACCAATTAACAGTTGAGCAGCAATAGCAATATGTAACTGTTACCTCCTGACGAGTAATTCGTAACATTGTCTCTTACAGTATGTCTTATTTTCGGAGCACAATGCTCCTGAACTACGAAATAATATACTCAGTGTCCACTTGCCGGTCGGCTTAATTAGCCAGCAGCTTAGTTCACTCACCGGCTAGTCCAGTGGTTCTCAAACTTTTTCTGTCAGGCCCCCCCTTTGGAGAAAAAAAAAAGTCGGGCCCCCCCAACACAAGTCAGGCTCAGTGGCCGCGCCAGAGATTTATTTTGGGGGTGCTGTGGGGTAGCTTGACGTTTCATAGAGGGTGCTCAAACATTTAGGGCAGGGCTATTCAATTTAACCATTAACATCATTTGATTGAATTTAGGTGAAATGATCTAATCATTCACGCAGAGATGCAATAAATGACAGGAGTTGTCACTACAGTAGCTAGTAGGGTTCGAAACCTGAGCCCGCCAAAGTTTTCAGGCAATGTCTTCCCCTCTATCTCTCAATTGAACACCCTCTCTGGAATAAAGGCACTCTGGCCCAAAAAAAATCTTTAAAAAAATAAAAAGTAGATTACTTTTTAACATTATACTCAAAGGGCCAGTAAATATCACCCCGGGGCCGGATTTGGCCCGCGGGCCGCCAATTGAATAGCCCTGATTTAGGGTTTCCCATTAATGTACCGGGCGCTACAGTGGAATTTTCTACTGCAACAATTCCCACGCATATACACAGTGTACCCGCGACTGTTACAATGAAGGCTCGATAATCAGCTCACGGCATATAGGTGTAAGCAGGGATAGAGTGCTATTTTTATAAGTGGTGGATTGTGTGGACCTCACATAGGGGGGTCCGGGTGCAAGCTCCCCCGGGAAGATTTATTTTTAAATATTGAAGTTAAATGCATCAATCTGGTGCATTTTGAGAGCAAAATGAAGAGATCTATGGATACCTCTCTCAACACCCATATGAAACAGAACTGTAAACAGATTTACTTTTTCTTTATGGATATTTTACAAATCATCCTTTTAAACTTTATTATTTTTTTACTGTCGTATAGTATTTCATACCTGTTTTTAATTTATTCTCTTATTTTTGTATAACTATAATGATCATATAAACGTGTGCCTCAGAAATAATTGTTTACATTAATAGTGACCAAAACGTTTGAGACCCACTGAGATAACACTGAGAGAGTCCTTTAGTTCACTGAGTCTCTCAGTCCGACAGGAGAGGACTCTCCTCCACCTTGTTGTTGAAAAAACTCCTTATATCCGTTAGTGTAGCTCGCTAGCACCAGAAGCTAACAACAACGATCTCCGGTACCGGTGCGCGCTCTCTCTCTCGCTCGCGCACGCACACAAAATGGCTCGTTCCACACACACACAGAGCCGAGCTTTAATGAAACACAGAGACCCAGACGTAATAGTACTGTACTGTATCATATTTTCGAATCAATATTCTTTCAAATTATGATTTTTTTTTTTAATCTTTTCTTTTTTATAACCATTTTTCCTCCTGGTCTCTCGCGCCCCCCCCTGTCATGCCTCTGCGCCCCCCAGCGGGGGCGCGCCCCCCACTTTGGGAACCACTGTGCTAGTCCAACACATCTAGTTTGCAGCAGGTTGACAGCGCTTCAAAAAAGCAGCAGCTTCAGCCGGAGAGTTGAATTCGTGCCTCGTTCCGTCCACAACAACCCGGAGTTTAGCGGGGAAGAGGAGGCTGAAAGCGAGCCCGGCGTTTCTCAGCGAGGACTTGATGGGGGTAAATGCGGCTCTCTTACTGGCTTCTGCACTGTAATCCGCATATATGTTGATCTCTGCGCCTCTGTACATCAGGGGACCCTTCTCCCGTGCAAGCTGCATTATTCATTGTCTTCTCTGGACGGCCAGCCGGTGTGCTCTATCCACGGTCAAGGGGCGAGGAAACGTGTTGGGGCCGAATATTTCAGCCAGAAAGGATTCAATTAAAGTAGTTGGACGGGACCCTCAGCTCGCTCAGGTATACCTGATATACGAATATTACCCCTCATGGATCTGTTTTCAAGGTCGTCAACTTTCAGCTTCAGTTGTTTGTTCTCCTGCACTATATCAGCCAGTGTAGACTCCAGTGTAGTTATTCTTCCTTGGAAGTCGTTCATTGACGTTTCAATGGCTTGGATTGTCTCATCGTGCCTGATTATAGCTGCGTGGTTGGATGCTATTTGTGCTGTCAAGCTTCCAATTATACGCTCTTCCATGCCGGTGAGTAGTTTCTGTATGTCAGAGAGACAGCGCCTGGTTGCCGACCTCGCCATGTGCGGAGTTGTTGCTAGCATGTGAAGCTAACTCACAGCCCTCCTCGCCTCCGCCGTCGCTGTCATCGCTTTTCTTGCTCTTCCTCCCCATGACAAATCGTGTACAGTCGACACCAAGTCAAAGTCACTCTTAGAAGCAGGCCTTGCAAGTTTAGATGTGAAATTAGTAGGGCAAATGACAAATAAATGTTAAATGGTGACAGAGCTCTTCCGACTAGCAGCTTACTCCGCCATTCGCCAGACCGGACTCCCTATTGAGCACAACTTGTTTTAATGTCCACATCTCATACCTATTGTAAGACAGTCTTTATATTGTGAACCCTGTACTTACTTTAAAGACATCAAACCAAAACATTTGCATATTTTGAGGCACCCACTCTTCTTGCGATGCAGGGAAATCCAAAGAAGCACAATAAGAAATGTTTAACATTGGGTACAACATAGTTATCAAGAAAAACAGCCATGGGTGGATTCTCACATTTAATAATAGACAAAAATGTTCTGTCATTCTTTTATGTACATCAGTAATTACAAGTTCAGTATGCTATTATCCTCAAGTTTTACATAGTTTAATCAGCTCCTAGTAATGCTTGTTCATCTTTACACTGCTGTCTTACATACAAAATATGCTATGTACTGCAGTCACATTTATAAAAGCCTGGAGAGGTTTGCCATAAATGATTTTTCCAAAACCATTCAACAAATTTCATTCACAATACTTTCTCATTATTTACAAAAAAAACAGCTAAATTATACATATTAACAAACTACTTCCTCAGTATATATAATGCCGCTATACAAAGAGACAGAAATAAAGAGAGGGCAATGCCACATTTTACAGTGACCTTATTCCAATGTTTTAACCTGTGCATTAAAGCATTTCAAATACATATAAATGCTGCCAGTGTTTGGGGAAAAAACTACTTGTATTGTAAATATTAGGAAGATTTCCAGTAAGTAATCACACTTTATAAATATGTATTTTCTGTACATCTATCAGTTGATACACTGATTAATAAGCTGAAATAAGGCCACTGCAAAGTCACCCGATAAAGTTTGAGGCTTGGAAAGCGGGGAACAAATCAAAACAAATTTGAATAGTTGTGGGGACCTTGGCTCGATGGCAGACGGGCTTCTTTCACTCCCTCTCAGATATTTTGAGCAGAGCTTCACAGTTGGGCAGCTCTAATGGTGGCGATAAGTAATCATCTGGAAAATGTGAACTTTAGCACCTAGGAATCCTCTGAAATGCAACATCAAGTTCATTTTTACCAACAGGGCTTTGGAGCGTTAAACCAAACGAAGAAAGTCAGAAAGTGGAACCTAATTGAGCCTGAAAAAAAAGGTTTGTATTGTGCTCTTAGCTTTTAAATCACTTCAATGGAGTATCAGAAGGAAAGGCCTCTACATTGCAGCTGCAGTTGAAGAAAAGTAATGCATTTTTAGATAAAAATATGGAATCGAAACACCGGACACACCCACACAGGAATTTTCAGTTATGCCGTTTTTCTGATGATCTCAACAGAGCTGAACTATGATCATTCAAAGTCATCCTGCCCACGCAGCTTTCCAGACCCCAACATTGCAAAATTAAAAGCCATTGATCATGTGTTGAAGATGGGGCTGGGATATTACTCTCATGCAGCCTCTAAACCAGGGAAAGACACTTGCGATATTGCGAAATGGCGAGAAACTAAAGCTTTACGAGAAAGGAAATGAGACCTAAAGGATACATACAATGCAATGCATGAGCAGTAAACAGTACAATAAACCAAACTAACGACAAAGATGTAGTGAAAAGCAACACAAATATAAAGAGCCAAACAACTTGATTTCTGTCTCGTCACCAGGACGAAAACGCAGGCTGAGAGGGTTTTGCAAAAGTCTGGATTTGAGGGAGAAAATAGGACAGAATATTCATCATTATCAAGATAAATGTGACAAAATCAGGTCGTATTGTCCGGCTTTACCGAGGTCTCACTCAGTCCCGCCTGAGCAGGTGCAACAAAACTAAACCCACAATGAGGGAGCTGTCAATCAAGCAGATGCCCGCATATCTGAAAAGACGTGCAATCAGCCCAAAATAAACGAAAGCGCCTGTGTGGGAGGACCAGGGGTCAGAAGTCTTAAATTACTGTTGAAACTGCAACTTTTTTTAATATTATTACTTACTTTGAATGCTGTGAGACTTGGCAGACATGTCAAAGTACTCAGTGTGGGGCTGCCGACAGAAGACTTGGGTCAAATAGTATTTACAGACAATATAGTTTGTTTTTCATCATTCTGTTAACTCTGTTAAGAAGTGTGGAAATAATCTCGAATGAAAGGGAAAAACAAAGAGGGATGTGTAGACACTATCAGACCCAGAATCTGTTTGTCTGAACCATCAAGCAGAAAGAGATCCTGGTGTGTGTGTGTGACCTCACATCTTCCTTTCTGACACATTTAACAAGGCAAACCAGCTCTAATGAGTTCTGACCTTTGACCTCTGCGTTTCTGGGCTCCTGGGGCTGACAAAGCGCACCAAGTGAGCTTACTGATTTTCCTTGGTTGCACACATATTTCCATATACATTCATTAAGGTAAGAAAAGAAACACAATATTCTTTCTTTGTGAAATTATTATCACAGAACATTTGAATCCGCTGTAAAAACAGATCTGAGGAGTTTCTTTGCTAAATGAAATCTCAGTGTGTGTGAAACTAAATAAAACTTGCAACAGGAGATGACAGCAGTGTCGCAGTTACCGGTGAATGCAATAATGGGATTTTTTTTTTTTAAATGGAAAGAGAACATTAGTGTATTAAATATATATTCCTACAGAAAACAAATATATATGAGATGTTTTCTGATATCTGCTCCTGTTAAAGTAAGAGTGACACATGTACACTTCAGGCCTTAGAGTGTCCGTGGGTTATGTTCCCTTGGCTCTGCTCAGAGTCATATTTCTACTCCAAATTAATTATTGCTTTTTCTTTTTTTTTTTAAAGCTGCTTGGAGCCCCACATTATTGTTTTCTAAATCTGGGCATCCCCCCCTAAATAAAGCCCTGCTAATTTGCCGAGCAAAGTAAAATTACAAATAAGGAAGAAATAAGAATAACTGAATCAAAATTGGGATTATGTCAATGAATGTGGCACCAGCTCTGCCCAGGCTGAAGTATATTGTTGCCACAGATCTTTGAACATGCTAAAATTGTCCCTCCCAAGAAGATTTTTGGAATTAAATAGCACCTCCAAACTATAGTTGGTTACCTGCCAAACACATTGGTTGTCTAGACGAAACAAAGCTGCAAATTGAGAGGTAGAAGAGAGAAGAAGACTCCTGACTGAACTAATATTCTTAATTAATGAAGCTTTTGTCTTGCAATTTGTGACCACATGGACAAACTGAAGACCAGATTTACTCACTTCAGCGGATGATTGATTGTTATTTCCCCACATTGAGTCTCCGCAGAAGCAACTGTTAAGCTTTAACCAAGCATCATGGCTAAAAGAGGATTCTCTAGTGGAGATAAGAGCGGAACACGCCCTGATTGATAATGAAGAGTAGAAGTGAAGTGCTCTGCCTCCAGTGTGAACAGAGTGGGCTCCTAAGCCCTGGCTTGGGTCTCTGAGAGGAGCTGTGAGCACACCCAGCTCTCTATCATTACAGAATGTCAACTTTGTTCATGTTTCCTGCTCTGACCTTTTCCCAGTGCTAAAAGTGTGCCCTTTAAGCAGGCGCGGAGCAGTTCTAGTATGCTGAACACCTGTGAGGGCTGGGATCTAAATACAACGCTATTATTTAGGGCGAATGCAAGTTATTAAAATTGTTCTATTACTGTACTTCTCTGAGGGCGGGAAGTTAATAACTTTGTGAGGCAGCAGGAAACATATTTTCTATATCAGTAAATGCCTCTGCCTTCAGTCAAAGACCTGCAGGTGTTATAGTATATATTGTAACTTTTGCAAAGATTACCATAATAAGCCAATTAAAGTCTGCTCTCATATTCAGCGCTGAAGGAGAAATTATAGAAAGGCAATAAAGGCAGATCTGAAACCCTGATGCCCTTACCAAACTGAAATTACTCGTGACATTTCAAAAAAGCTCTATTTTAAACTTGAGTTTCTTGTTCTTTTTGTGTGTCTCTTGTTTGTTTTTTTCTTTATGTTTTTCCTCATTTTCCCAAGTTGACAAAAGAAGTCATGTTTCTTTAAAAATGGACCAGTGATTTCAGATAAAGACTGTTGAAAGAGCAGAAATCAAAAGGAAAGAAAATTGTAAAAAAATGGGGCCTGCTTCACATAAGAGGAATAAATCCAAAAGACCGGGCGACACTTTCAAGATGCAATTGTTCGAAAAATCATTGAATGCTATTATTTCCCGTCTTGTTTTTTAAAATCACAAAAGTCTTCCTTGAGATGTGGCCCATTTGAAGGTAGCATTGAACACAGGTGCACATGAGGAAACAGATGCTCTGCTCGTATGTGTGTGTGCTTAACGTTCAGAGTGTATATGTTGGCATTCAAAGCTCCACTATGAACACAGACCCCAGTGAGTCGGGGGATAATTGGGCAGCTGTAGATAGCTCAGGGACAGGGGACAATCGCTATCGAACGGCAGGGGAAGAGCAGCAGGATTCCTGGCATTGGGGAGGGGGGGGGGGGACGACGACATGTACTGCATCTGGGTTCAAGGAAACAGCAATTAGATGCTATGGATTTCTTAGGCAACGATCACAGAGGATGCTGAACCGTCGCCAGGCTCCCTTCACGCAGATCAGCCTAATCACTGCAGTCCATCGGAGCCAGAGGATCTATGGGAAGCCTGTTTCACATGAGCTCCAGTCGCTGCACTGCCAAAGGGACAATGGCTACCCACCAAGGGGGGTGGGGAGATTTCTCGCCACCAACTGTTTGGTTGGGTGTGTTAGAGCGCTGCGTGTGCACCTGTGTGTGCACCTGTGTGTGCAGGGCCATTGGCTTTCACTGCAACCGGTCGAGTAATTAGCTGGAAAGGTTTCAATCGGTGCTGGCTTACGATGCAGCCAGCCAGCGTGGAAGAGATGTAGCTGTGGTCTTGTTCTGTACCCGGCCTCGCTGCCAGAGAGCTGGGAAGGTGGTTGGTTGGTTGGTTTGTAGCCAAATGGCCACAGATTGGGAGAGAGACGGAGCCCGAGACAGGCCACAGAGAAGAAAGCAGGCAGAAGACACAGAGGCTCATTAGAAATGTCACAGACTCTTTAGATGGACTTTGGCTGCACGGCCAGACTCCTGCACTGGATCCTCATTAAAGGAAGACTGAACATGCTGTTCGCTCGCTCCGAGGCCAAACTGTACAGGACTCGGGCGACAGGAACCCTCAGTGCTGAGCTGCAACATGACAGCAGGCGACAATGGGCTACAAATGGGTACAAGGGCCTGTTAAGTTGTTTTCTTTAGTGTGTGTGTGTGTGTGTGTGTGTGTGTGTGTGTGTGTGTGTGTGTGTGTGTGTGTGTGTGTGTGTTTCGTGTGTGCATGCGCAGCTAGAAGGGTCCAGTTTGTTCCTGAATTTAAAATCAAACAATACAAAACAACAAATAATAACTTAAGGAAAACACAAATAAAGAGGGATGCAAAGTCTCTGGGTTTTTCAGAAACTACGAGACGAGGATCTCTTCTAGCAGCAAGCCGCGGCCGCCTCGAGTCCGACGACGAGGCGGTGTCGACAAATGTAAAATCTTTTCATTTTGAGGGGCGGGGTGAAGTCAGCACCCGCTCTGTCCCGCCCTCCCTCCTGCTCCAGTTTCTGTCTTTTAGTCCACAGGGACCCATAGTTCCTGTAGGAGGAGAGGGAGGGGAAGCCCGCTGAGGCTCCAGTCCGCCAAACCACTCGGCCCCTCACCAAAATGTCCTGCGTCCCAGCATGCACCTCTGAGTCTCTAAAGAGGGAGCCGAAGCGGGGGGCTGATGGGAGAGCTGTGGGTGGTGGGGGGTAGAGGAGTGACAGCGGGGTCAGATGCAGGTGGAGGGCTGGGCGGTGGGCTGCTGCTTGCGGTTCCTCAGACCTCCAGACTTCTCCTTGAAGCCCACACACATCTGCTGAGAGACGTCCACCAGCGCACTCGCCACCGCCAGACCTGCACAGAAACATCACAATACGAGTGTTAGGAAAATATCACTCGTCACCGGCTCGAGCTCGAGCTTCAATATCAGGATACATGTATTTATTATCCTTGCAAGAATGGAAGTAGTCATCACATACAGAGCTGCATGGGACAACTAGTTCCTGAATAGTGTCTTTGACATGCCTTATATACAAGACAGGGTGTTAGAGTCACAAGATGCAGAATACCGGTTCAAAGCAGTATTCTGGCCTTAGTTCAGGTTAGCTAAGACCCACGTCAGAAATAAACATGACAGTCATATGCCTATCTCCATAGAGGCTGAATCATCATGTTAATCACATAGCTATCATATTCCTAAAACAGTGTGTCCTGACGCTCTTCCAGCTAATCATACATCCTGTTACGTACACAGCTACGTAGGGTCTTTGTTATCATGTGCTACTCTGATATTGGAAGAGTACATTCAGTATTTTCCCAACAATGAGCTAACGATCATGCAACACATTTTTAACTCTGTGATCAAACCGAGCTGCGTGTCACTGTGGGGGTGTCACTGTTTCAAAACTTTGTTCGAGTTCGAATGAATGGCTCGTACTGTAGATAACAAGTTTTTTTAATTAATGTGGGTGAAACCGAATCAATCCTGTTAGGGAGTTCAGTGAAAGTCTGAAATCTCAAGTGACTCAAATGTAGGATTAATATTGGAAGAGTCACACTCCTGTGAATATATTGCTGGTAAAATGTTATCTAAGGGTGCCATGAAAATGAAGTCCCTCTTTGACTTTTCTGTCAAACTTCCCTGGTGCACACTGCTCCATTGTCTTTCCCATTATGCATGTTCTGTTTGGTACAGGGGTTTGACAGTTAAACAAGCTGCAAGGGATGCAATAATATGACTCATTATCTAATAAACACAACCATTTTAACTGCTGTTAGTAATGATGAATTATTACAAAATATCAATATTGGTAGAACAATTACAAATTCAATTCATATTTCTTTTTTCAATATAGGTTAACTTAACACTGCAATAACGGCACTGAAACTGTATTTATTTAATATTATAATTCTTGACTTTTTAATTCCTTTTAAAATTGTGCTTTATTTTCTTTCTTATGAACTTCAAATTGCTTTTTTTTTGGTGTTTTAAAGATACTTAATACATATACAGTACTTGCCTAGTCTACAGTAATCCCACTTCCCCTACTTTCTTTATGCACGGTAACAGTAGACAAAATACAAAAGTTAAATTGTAGCATGAATACTCTGTCACTTTTCCAATACACACACTGATATACTTTTTCGAATCAGTGCGTAGTGGAAAATTGGGACACACACACACACCTCTCATTACCACATAGAAAGCTGGTGAGATCATATACTGGCAGTGGAGGCAATCAGTTACTTACAGCACACTTCATTAGCATGTATTAATACTCTCTGAGCCATGAAATTCCAATAAACTCTATTTATCTCCAATAATGGATGCATTTCCCCCCGATCAACAACACATGGCCTACAGCGAAATATATAAATTCCCCAGGGAGGAGTTGCACTTTTCCGCTGAAATCACACCGTCAGAGTCTTCAGTGAAACAGGCTGCAACTATTATTTTGTTTACATCAGAAAGTAGGACGGTTCAAAGCACTTCAATTACGGTTCAAAGCACTTAAATGACGCTCCGATGCCAATCAGAGATAATCTACAGCGCTGACCTCCTCTTGGCTGTTTGGAGAGACAGGAAGGCGGCCATTTTGGAATTGCTCAACTGTAAACAGATGTGCCGTGAGGTTGTGACAGACGGCAAGTTGAGGATTCAAGAGAGACACGGCCAGATGGGAAACAAGTTAAAAGCATTATAATAGGAGACCCCCGCGAGCATGAGGAGGTGGTAGGAACACGACTAACATGGTCTCGACAAGAAGATGCCGGAGGGAAAGCTCCGCAGAGAGAGGATTTGTTTTTACAAAAGGTGGTAATTAATAAGAGCCCGGGGCACGCTGATGGTCGGGGGACTGCAACTGTGGGAGGCAAAGAGGCTATAAAACACAGAAGGGGGGAAAATGACAAAAGGAATCAATTTGACTTCTTGTTTTGGGTCCTTGAAGAAGACAGAAAAAATAAGTTGTAAGAAAAGGCAAGTGAAGTGCTTAGTCCTATCAGACTGTCAGATAAGTGAAACAGATGAAGGACGGATGGGAATGTAAAGAGAGGAAGTGACACAGCAAAGGATGAAAGGGGCTCGATACTCAGTGTTATCAGAAAGGAGGAGGTAGAGAGCACAGGGAAATGCAAGAAAAGACACTTGAATGCACTTTAAAACCAGACTTCACAGACAAGGAGGAGAAGAGGAGAAACAAAATCAAGAAGAGAGGGAAAGAGTGCTTCGAAGATTAGGCACAGAAGACAAGATGCAGCAGACAAAGGGATGATGACGGGAGGAAAGAGGGGAAGACAACAAACAGGCTGCGGACGTCATTTTTATCACAAGGCACTGAAGGACCAGAGAAATGAGGAGAGATGTGAAAGTGCGGCAGAGTCTTTAAAGTCAATACATCCATGTCACAGTAATCGTGCAACCATGACATTATTACTTTAAACAAATAAGACCATGGTCAACAGATTGTGTCACTGTCTCCAAACACACATTCCATAATCCCCAACATTTCATTGTTTTACCGAGTTATTTTTACCGCTTATTGTTTATGTAAGAGGATTTCACAGTCTGGAAAACAAAAATTACATTTTGTTCCACTGGAAATAACAAATGTTTGCTTTTAATGAGGAATATGTGTGTCAGACAGCAATGCAGAGATACATTTCTGCGACATGAATGCTGTGTCTGAATTGAATATACAGTGGAGAGACTTACAGGAGCAGCGAATACTTATTCTCAGATATTATATGTAAGACCATGTGCCTGCTTTATGCATGGCTGAATTAATCAGTTGGCCCTGGGGCAGAAATAGGCGATGGGGCCCCTCTGACCTCCACCACTCCCGAGTGGATGGAGCACGCAGCCTTCAAGCTCCCATTAAGTACAGACTGCAGTGCTCCTGTACTCCCTGGGCCCAGGTTTACTGTGTGTCAATTTCTGCACAACGTGAGCTCAAAATATATAATATAACACATGTCTTAGGACTGGATTTTGACACAGAGACCCTCTGCAACAACAGTTAATAGATTTGCTCATTAGTTTATTGGAAATAAGTTATTTAGAATAAAAAAAATGTATTGATAAAATGGCTCATTTGTTAAAGGGGCCCTGTTTCAGGTTTCACATGTCTCCATGATTTATTGTTCAAAAAGCTCTTTATTTGTCTCATACTGCCTGTGCTGCAGCACCTCTTTTCACCCTCTGTCTGAAACCAGAGCCCAGTCTGCTCTGATTGGTTAGCTGGTCGGCTCTGTTGTGATTGGTCAAACGCTTAGAGATGTCCCGCCCGTTAGCCTATCACGTACAATGTGTTGGAGCGCTAGCAAATAAAACGCAAGTGTTACATAGTGATGTTACTTGGTTACGGAAGTAAATTAAGGAGTCCAAATTAAGGAAAGGGCAATATATATCGTCTTAGATTTTGGATATTGTTAAGTCTTAAGTGTTGTTTTAGGGTTGAAATGGTTGAATTACAGTACAGTGATGTATTTTTCTGAATATAATAGACTGTTAAATTATTTCCTTTACCTGCTTAGTTTATATCCATATTACTGATGATGATTTATCAAAATTCTCATTGTGTTAATATTTTGTGAAAGCATCAACTTCACAATATGTCAAATATGTAAAAATGTGATTGATGATTTCCTTCACATTGCCCTGTCTGCAAATATCATAAATGTAGATCTGTTGCCAGATCACTTCGCATGGTTTACAGACAAGCATGAACTCAGTTGTCTTCATCTGAAACCCATGTTTTTGTTACTGGTTTGACCTTTAAGCTAGTTCTGCAGTACACACTTTTTTTCTTCTGAACAGCTCTCCAGAGAATATAAATCTTACAATTCTGCTCTCACAAGGTAACTGCGATGAAACAAAAATGAAGCTTCTCCGAAACAATGAATACGCCCCTTGCAATAACAAGAACAAGAAACAGAGACAAGTTCCTGTCATCTTCAACTCTCTCGGAGATCCCTCATTGTTAAGCCACAATATGTGATGACACAACGCAGGTTGATATTGTTTACGTCTCTTTTATCAGATGTGAAAAAGTAATTTGATTGATGGACTGCAGCAAGACATTATTGTTTACCTGGCTAAGAGGTGTCGCTTAAAAGCCAACAATATAATCACATTATATTTCTAGACGTTTGTCAGACAGCATAAACAGATGAATCTGTCACCAACTTCTCACCAGGTGATGTCTGTAACACATCATTTTGTTGTTCAGGAGGATGAAAAAGATTGAGCATTGCTGTTGTTCGGGTGTTTTAGAGAAGACTTTACGGAAAGGAAATGAAATCTCTAATATGGACAGAAATCATGTGAAGATGTATAAGTGTTTTCAGTTTTATCACGAACCTTTGGACACGTTGAAAACTTCTGAAGGATAACATTAAATAAATAAAGCAGAATAAAAACCAGGTAAAAGTGCTTCATCAGATGGAGGAAGGAAGGTGGATGACAGAACAACAATCAAACAAAGATGGATGACGTGAAGGAAAGAAACATAAGCCAAGTATTACCAGACTGTCCTGGAGGAGGGATGCCGCCGGTGCCTCTGGGTAACCGCACAAAGATGGAGAGCACAGCAGCTTTGTTTCCAAAGCAAGGCTCGAGGGCGATGGGCTTTGGGACGGACTGCGGAAAGAAAAAGAAGAACGAAATTACACATCACAAGCCTCCCAAATCCTGGTGAACACACACCATTTGCAGAGGCACAGATAACCGAGGCTTTGCTGATACTGTTCTTGTTTGTGTCAGCAACATGCACAGCAACCAGAAAAACACAACTTGAGAAACAGAGACTGATGTGCAGCTATAAATTGGATTCTCCCCTCCCAAAATCCCCCTACTGTGCAGAAATTCATGACAATGGCGCCTGTGAGCAGCGTGGGCCGTGGCTGGATATCAAGTGGCTGCCCTGGGAGCGCAGATTTGTGTCTGCGGTGCTGTCGCTGCAGGCTGCCCCGACTCCTGACGCTCTGATACCAAGGCCTCCTGTTTACCAGCAACTCATCCGTATGTGGGGATGAGTTTCCCTGTAAACACTGCTGCTGCTCGCCTGGTACAACATTCATGGAGATACCTCGATACAGGATATGGATATGAAGGGCACCGACACCTCAACTGCATACATATAGCTCAGCATCTATCTATATCATCTATTATCTACAGATCTATCTGTCTGTCTGTCCATCTAACTATCTATAGATCTGTCTGATGTTGGCTTGTCTCTCCATCTACCTACTTATCTATCTAAAGATTTATATCTATTTATTTACAGGTCTACCCTTCATGTCCATCTGTTTTTTGTTCATTTGTCTATCTATCTATCTATCTATCTATCCATCCATCCATCCATCTATCTGTTTTGAAATCTGAGCCGGACAGGAAACTGGGCCATGGCACGGTTTCGGACAAACACACACACACACCTCTGAGCACAAGTGCAATCCTTTCCTTTGCCAGTCTTTATTCTCTGGAGAGTCGAGCTTAAAGCCCCAAGAGGCAATGCCGAAGGAGTATGACACACACACACATTACTCACACCGCAACACACAGCTATTCACACTCTGACGCAACTGTATAGACACACGCTTTTCACCTTTTTACACACACTGCTGTTCTCCTTCTCTTCCTCTCACACACACGGTGTAATCGTACACATGGGAAGCGGGGCAGTAATGATATTCAGGCTTTGACCCATTTTACACAATTATTCTCTGCTCCGTCTCTCTGAGGCGTACCTTTCATACCAGCAGGATAGGTAGCTGGGGAAGTGGCACAAAGACTGTGTGTGTGTGTGGGTGTGTGTGTGTGTGTGGATTCAGTGCAGTTGATTTTGTAGAACAGGGGGAATTCGGTATTTGTGAATGCCTCTGCAGATGTGTGTCTTCCTGTTTATAGCACGTGTGTAAATGTGATGTGTTCAGGGACGATCTGACAAGAAGGACACTTTACCCTCTGTTATTTGCACTGTAGGTGTGTTAGTGGATAATAAACCCTTTCAGACATGCTCTTCACTCGGTAAATGTGCAGGTAATGTCTGCCTTACGTATGAATAAGCCCGAGAATCATTTTTCCTGTAAAAGCCACCTGTGCAATCTTACTGGGGTTTGGACATTTTCACATTTCAATAGCACTCCCTGTCTTATAGAAATGTCTAGCTGTGCTTTCAAAGGCTGGAATTATGGTTCTCAGAGGATACACTAACGTCTTTGTACCCCGAAAGTAAACATGTTTAAAGAAACATTCATGAAAAGGCCTATGAAAGGGAAAGTATCTCTAAATGCAACCTGGAGGAATTTTTACTGGCCTTTAAGAACATTGTAATTCATTTGCTATTTAATTATCACCTCCTAATACACAAAAACGACTTTAATTAAGCAATTTATTTAACTTTTTAAAGCTATTTCTCGTATGTCAGATGAGTCTTAAAAACTGTTTTTTTATTTTATACCTATTCTGCTGCATGCAATTGGAAAATAAAGAGAAAGAAGATGTCAAACCTAGGAAACAAACACAAGTAATCATCCGTTTGCCTCATTTTCTCATTTCATCAACTGCTAAACGTGTGAATATCCATCATAAAGCTTTACATACAGCATGAGAGGATTTAAAGAAATATCTGAGTCATAAGCTAACCTCATCATTGATGAAACTGCTTGGACTTTGTTAAACTAAATACAGTGAACAGAATTGTATATACTGTCTGATTAGAACATTGATTAGGTATAATTACACTTGGAAAGCTGCGGCTCCACTTTCTCTTTGTAATTGTAACATAAAAGCTGTTAAAGGGACAATTCTGTCAAGAATTAAGTGTTTTTATGAAATCCCAGAAGCCAATTATTCTAAAAGATGACAAAGGTGGCACAAGTACACATTGTCTATGTCTGAAGGGGCTTACAGGATGTTTGTGTATTGTCTGAATGTGTGGATATTTTTCTATGCAGCTGAATAATTACCATGTCCATGTACGTTTGGACATAAAAGGTTATTAGGAGGTTGTGTTTGTGTGTGCATGCCTCTGAGCTTGCAGCAATTTTCATCTGCGTTGATCCTGCACTCACACGCATGCAGCATTACAGCCCCCCCCCCCCCCCCCCCCCCTGACAGGGGGAAGAGTTCAGCAGCAGACAAATCGCCTGCTGGAAACACTGCAGTCTAACCAGCAGCATCATCCACAACACGCAGGAAATAACAAATACTCAGACATGTTTGGATACCAGCGCTATGTGCAGAACCTCAACTCTGACACGCTGTATTTCTGACAATAAATCATTAAAACAATGCCATGACTTTGAGGAACGATCGTGAATAATGTCAACAGACAAAGAAAAGGGGTCACTGCTTTGTTTTTACAACCTCTCCATCTTCAACTCGCTCTTTCTTTCTCTCGTCACATCACGTTTATTTAAACACGTCAAGACAATTTTGTCCCAAAGTGCTTTTCAGTCTGTACAGATTCAGAGAAACTTGGGAAACCTTATCAAAGAAAAACAGAGCTCCTTCTATTACATACTATTACTTTACTCAGCTTCATTTGTCCTTCAAAAATGGCTTTCTTGAGCCTTCCTTGTTTTTGGGAGGTGCCACTTCTATAATTCAAATCATCAACTTTAATTCTAACATGAATTTAAATGACATTTAATGATATGTTCAAAATATAATAATAAGTATTTGGCATAAACAAAGGTCCATAGCTGAAAAGATTGGCAGCTTTTAACAACCAGCCATTACACACTAAGCAAAGCAAATGCTAAATAAAAAAAGAATGTTGACATCACAGACGAGAAGCAACAATCTCCTGGAAAATGAAGGGACATCTTTGAAAAATTAAAGTGGTTTTAATTAGGAGGTGCAACTCATCGTACCTTGGGGTGCATTTTCTGTCAGGAGTAATTTGATTGTGACATTCCTAAATGCTTCACACAGCACTTATGTCTCATCATGTGTGCTTTGCAATAACTTATTTGTCTCACATGAACCGCTTGAATGAATTAAATGTGTTAACAATGACACTGAGACGCTTCCAACCATCACATTAAGTGACACTGTGAGTTACAATCTGGAAGACCTGCGTTAGGATCTCTTTGGCGGCAAATGACTGAGTGCCAAGCTTTAAATACAGGTGTGTGGATTCCTTCTTTCCAGGGATTAACGCTAGTGATTTTTCTAAGGAGTCACGCCAAACACACCCAGTGAGTAAAACTAGAACAATAACAGCTTTCATTGTACGGCCACCGCCTCAATCCTTGTGTTACTTTCTTCTGCAACAGCTAGCGACAGAAGGACAGCAAACTAAATGACTGTTTAGTGAGGTTAAGGTAATTCCTAGCATTATCATAATTAGCATTTAAAGGAGAGAAAGACTACCACGTTAGGTTAAACTTCTTTTATACAACGAAAAGTGGATGTGGATTGGTAATAGTGCAAGTGTGGAAAGCCAGACGCATGCAAACCCTCAATTATTGTGTAAATCGAAGCGCAGACACATCTACTTAATTGCAGCCGTGTACAGATGTGCAACTTCTTTAAAAAGGAGGACTTCGGCTATGTAATTATATAACGAGAGGCTATTCAAGAATGTAAATAGTACATTGATTGGTTAATACTAAAACATCTTGTCCAAACAACGTCGCACAAACGAAGGAGTTTTATTGTGCACAAAGACCTATTGTCTTAATTGTTATTCATGTCAAGATTATTCTGGAAAGAAAAAGTAGCGAGAAGAAGCACTAGATTGAGACAAGACATATTTTCAATTAAGTCAACATTTGAAATCTAAAAAAACATCAAGTGCTTATCATATTAATTACAGTTTGAAAGACTTCAAAGTATCCTAATTAAATACTGAAAGGGAGCAAATGGCTTTTGTTTTCCAGTTGACTGCAGTAGAAGCTTGCATTGTCCCTCAAGGAGATTCATTCATATCACTTACAGCTTTGTGAGATAAATGTGTGATGACTCAATAAGAAGAATAATTTATTTCCATTTTCAAAATGATGGTGCTAGAACATCATTAATACACGGATTGATAATAAATGGGAATAAAAACTACTGATAACTATTCCAATAGAACATTAGCTGGTGGAATATCGCACTTGGGTAATTTCGCTTCCCAATCTCTTGGTACAAGAAAGAGATGAAACAATTATTTTGGCCTTGCCAGAAGCGATGGAGCCAGGCTTGGTTTTCTCCGGTCTGCACGTCTGTTTGTGCCTCGGGCAAAATGTTTTCCTCATCCAGTGTGTTTAGAATTGGAAAAATGATGGCTGCTCTTCATAACCTGAACACATCTATACTCTATAAGTAAAAAAAAAAAGGAGAGGAAGACTGACAGCTTTTAATTTCACAGCTTAGGGCTGTCTTTAGACATTCTGCCAAGTCCAATTTCCACTGCGGCAGCTGCAGGGCGCTCTTAGGTTCGCGCTTGTTTACGTGTGTGTCTCTTATTTTCTAACAACAGCCTCTCATATTCAAGCCGGAGAGGGAATATGCACTTCAAATACATTTTCAATAGGAAGAGACTTGCCGTCAGACTGAAATAGGAAATGACAGTCGGATCATTTTGATTTAAATAATCAGTTCTGTTTTCAACCTCACAAGCAACGTGCTTCACTTTACCTTTTTGG